GTTATGCACAAACAATGAATCATGGAACACTTCATCTAGAACTAATGATGTAATGTATGGGGATTAACATAAGAATAAAAAAAAAATATGTCTTAAGAGATCTCTCCATATCATTACCTATTATAGAGATTCCATTCTTTTAAAACGTTGTATTCTATTATATGAATATTGTATGAAATTTTGACTGTTTCTAATATGAGTAATCCCAAACAATGCTACAATACATTTTGGAAGTAAAGCTACATTTTGGAAAATGGCTGCCAGTTTCTCTAGTACAGAAGTATATATAATAAGCTATAAATTATACACAAAACAGAAAGGAAATAAGAATATTTCTGTTTACCTGTATATGCAGAAAGAAAATTGGGGAAAATACAAAGACCAACTAATAAAAATAATTTTCTTTGAGAGTCATTCTGGGAACCAGGTAAATAAGAGACACAATTATGATTTTTTTACTTGTACGCCTTTGTAAACTTTTTTTTTTGAATATCACTGTATTACCTACTCAAATAATTAAAGTTAATTAAAGAATTTAGCCCTTTTTTCCAAATTCAAAACATAAAAAAAAAATTCAGGTTTCTCATCAAAATGTTACACAGATTAAAAAAGTGAAAGCACTTGTACAGGTTAATTCTCACGTAAGAAGAAAGCACAAAGAGCAATTATCAGGGACTACAGTCTGAGAGCTGAAAGTAGTGATAGACCAAATACAGCTTTGTATATGAATAAAGAGACTGTATTTGAAATTCTAAAAAAGTTTCCTTATTTTACTTTTTCTGTCAAATGTTGTATTTTTTAGAAGATTTATTTCATTTTAGAGAGAGAGACAGAAAGTGAGTGTGTGTGTGAAGGCAGGAGAGCAGAGGAAGAGGGAGAGCAAGTCCCAAGCAGACTCCGTGCTATTCTGAACCACAAAGGCACCCCTCCTTCCTTTCTTTCTTCATATAATCTACATGGACTTTTTTCTTCCTCTTTCCCTCTTCCTGCCATTTACACTGGGCATGCAAAGAGAATACAGGCTATCCTCAGACACAGTAGGATACTGTAATATGTACTAAAATATTTCAAGTGAAATGTTATCTACACCTCATATTTCATTTTTACTTTGAAAATTTCTTTTTTTTCCTTTTTTTAGAGGTAAGGGGGCAGAGGAAGAGGGAGAGAGACCCTTAAGCAGGCTCCTCGCCCAGCATGGAGCCCAACCACGGGCTTGACGCCAGGCTGGATCTCATGACCCTGAGATCATGACCTGAGCCCGAAATCAAGAGTCAGATGCTTAACCAACTGAGCCACCCAGGTACCCCCGAAAATTTCTTAAAATTTAACTTCAAGAGCTTCCTATTCCAACAAAAAATCTGAATTAATTAATGACAATTACACAACTATATTCTGAATGGAGTTAAAATAATTATTTCATATGAAATGCTCCATCATCCATCATTTGGGGCTTAAGTCTGAGTGTTGAAAATTAAATGTGAAATTCAGATTTTCATTGTGTAATGTGACATGCACATATTACCATGGACACAAAAATAAGATAACTGAAGAAACTATATACCTTTTTTTAAAAAAAAGTTTGAAGTATACCAAACTATAAAATATTCTGATTTTCTGATTAATACTTTATTTTCATTTAAAATTAGAATATAAAAAGCATATATTATAATGCATATAAATTTAATCTTAAAATTTGATGATTCAGAGGAAATTTTAAAATCTTATATGTAAATAATCATTATGAATATAAATCTTTGCCTAAATTATATGGAAACACCACTAGGAGAAGATTTTTTACCTATCTCCACAAAACATTTACTATAAATCAATCAGTATTTTTAGGTATTTGCAAACCTTTTTAAAATTAAATTTTGAAAAAGTTTTACCTTCATGTGATTTTTCAAAGGATCCAAAAGATTAAAATGAATATTGCACTTTGGACAAGCTCTTGGAAAAGGTGTTCCATTTTTAGATTGATGTGATGAGGTATTTGTACCTAAAATAAATTCAAAACATATATAATACAAAATTCATCACTCTATAACCTTAAATAACCACTAATAACAGTTTGTAAATTTACTACAACTTCTAAAACTTACGTATAAATACTGTAATTTATTTTTTTTAAGGGGGGGAGGGACAAAGGGAGAAAGAGAATCTTAAGCAGGCTCCTTGCCCAGCACGAAGTCCAGTGTGGCTCAATCTCACAGCCCTGAGATCATGACCTGAGCCGAAATTAAAAGTCAGATGCTTAACCGACTGAGACACCCAGGAGCCCCTATAATTTCTTTTTTATATGCCACATTTCACATTTACCTTTTGATGATGTAGCCTGGGGAGATGTCACTGAAAGAGATTTAACTGAAGGAAATACAGCTGAAGAATTTAATCCAGAAATACCATCACTGGGCTTTGGCTTTTTTGGATTAACGCTGTTTACTTCAGAAGTAGAAGGACGTTTTGATAAAAAGGAACTTTCATTCATACCTACAATGAATTAAATAGTTGGAAATATATTTTTAAACACTTTAGCATATTACTTATAACAAGCTAAATTACTTTGGAGCTAAACTAAATGTAATACAACTGAATTATCCTATCATTCAAATGACAATAAATAACGGTAAAAATTGATGTGATCAAAAGTCAGGGGGTGTACCAAATATCGATCTTGAAAAAGAAGAATAAAACTGGAGTATTGCAATCTCAGATTTCAAGATATACTACAAAGCTGTAGTAATCAAAAGAATATGATATGGACAAAAGCAGACACACAGATCAGTGCAATACAACAGAGAGCCCAGAAATACACCCACGATTAGATGGTCAATTAATCTACAACAAAGGAGGCAAGAATATAAAATAGGAAGAAGTCTCTTCAACAATGATGTTGGGAAAACTGGACAGCTACATGCAAAAGAATGAAATTGGACCATTTTCTTATACCATCCACAAAAATAAACTCAAATGGATTAAAGACCTAAATGTGAGTCTGAAACCATAAAATTTCTAGAAGAAAACATAGGCAGTAATCTCTTTAAAATTAACCATAGAAACATTTTTCGAGATATGTCTCCTTTGGCAAGGGAAACAAAAGCAAAATGAAACTATTGGGACTACATCAAAATTAAAGACTTTTACTTAGCAAAGGAAACCATCAACAAAACAAAAAGGCAATCTACAGAATGGGAAAAGATATTTCCAAATGATATATCCAAAAGGGAATTAATATCCAAAATATAAAAGTAACTTACACAACTCAACACGAAAAAATACCCAAATAATTCAATTAAAAATGGGCAGAAGACATGAACAGACATTTCTTCAAAGATATACAGATGGCCAAAAAACACGTGAAAAGATGCTCAACATCACTCATCATCAGTGAAATGCAAATCGAAAGCACAATAAGGTATCGCTTCACACCTGTCAGAATGGCTAAAATCAGAAAGACAAGAAATAAAAAATGTTGATGAGGATGTGGAAAAAAAGGAACCCTTATGCATTGTTGGCAGGAATGCAAGCCAGTGCAGCCACTGTGGAAAACAGTACAGAGGTTCCTCAAAAAATTAAAAATAGAATTACTATATGATCCAGTAATTCCACTACTGGGTATTTACTCAAAGAATACAAAAACACTAAAAGATATGTTTATTGCAGCATTATTTACAATAGCCAAGATATGGAAGTAACCAAGTGTTCACCAATAGATGAATAAAGATTTTGTACATAAATAAATGGAATAAAAAAAATGAAATCTTGCCATTTGCAATAACATGGATGGATCTAGAGGATATAATGAATCTAATGCTAAAGTGAAATTAGTCAGAGAAAGACAAATACCATATGATTTCATTCCCATGTGGAATTCAAGAAACAAAACAAATGAACAAGGAAAAAAAGGACAGAAAGAAAAAAACCCAAACACTTAAATACAGAGAACAAACTGCTGGTTGCCAGAGGGAAGGTGGGTAGGGGGATGGGTGAAACAGGTGACAGGGATTAAAAATAAATTTATTGTGGTAAGCACCAAGTAATGTATAGAATTGTTGAATCATTATACTGTACACCTGAAACCAATATAACACTATTTAATTATACCTGAATTTTTTAAAATTTCTTCTTTTTTTTTTAGAGAAGGAAAGGGGCAGAGGGAGAAGGAGAGAGAGAATGTTTTTTTTTTTTTTAAGATTTTTTTTTTTTTTATTTGAGAGAGAGAATGAGAGAGCACATG